GTGAGAAACCATATAAATGCATGGAGTGTGGAAAGTGCTTCAATAACTCAGGTTATCTTACTTCCCATAAAAGGATCCACACAGGTGAGAAACCATATAAATGCATGGAGTGTGGAAAGTGCTTCAATAACTCAGGTTCTCTCACTATTCATAAAAGGATCCACACTGGGGAGAAACGATATGAATGCAAGGAGTGTGGCAAGTGCTTCAGCGGTTCAAGTTACCTTACTACCCATAAAAGGATTCACACAGGTGAGAAACCATATGAATGCCAGGAGTGTGGAAAGTGCTTCACTAAGTCAGGTTCCCTCACTTCCCATAAAAGGATCCATACTGGGGAAAAACCATATAAATGCCAGGGGTGTGGAAAGTGCTTCAGAGATTCAAGTTATCTTACTTCCCATAAAAGGATCCACACAGGGGAAAAACCGTATGAATGTCAGGAGTGTGGAAAGTGCTTCAAAGATTCAAGTTATCTTACTTCCCATAAAAGGATCCACACAGGTGAGAAACCATATGAATGCCAGGAGTGTGGAAAAAGCTTCCATTTTGCAACAAACCTTACTTCCCATAAAAGGATTCACACAAGTGAGAAACCATATGAATGTCAGGAGTGCGGAAAGTGCTTCAAAGATTCAAGTTATCTTACTTCCCATAAAAGGATCCACACAGGGGAGAAACCATATAAATGCCAGGAGTGTGGCAAGTGCTTCAGCGGTTCAAGTTATCTTACTTCCCATAAAAGGATCCACACAGGGGAGAAACCATATAAATGCCAGGAGTGTGGCAAGTGCTTCAGCGGTTCAAGTTATCTTACTTCCCATAAAAGGATCCACACAGGGGAGAAACCATATAAATGCCAGGAGTGTGGCAAGTGCTTCAGCGGTTCAAGTTATCTTACTTCCCATAAAAGGATCCACACAGGGGAAAAACCATATGAATGCAAGGAATGTGGAAAAAGGTTCCATTTTGCAACAAGCCTTACTTCCCATAATAGGATTCACACATAGGAATGCCTCAAGTGTCAAAAGAGCCTCAGTCAAAAATATCAGTATACTGTACACAACAGAATCCACACTGGGGAGAAACCATATAAATGCCAGGAGCGTGGAAAGATCTTCACAGCTTCGAGTTCTCTTACTTCCCGTAAAAGGATCCACACTGGGGAGGAACCATATAAATGGCAGGAGTGTGGAAAGAGCTTCAGAGCTTCAAATTTTCTTACTTCTCATAAAAGGATCCACACTGCAGAAAAACCATATAAGTGCCAGGAGTGTGGAAAGAACTTCACAGCTTCAAGTTCTCTTACTTCCCATAAAAGGATGCACACTGAGGAGAAGCCATTTGAATGCAAGGAATGTGGAAAGAGTTTCAGTGAAAAACATAGTTATACTGTACATAACAGAATCCATACTGGAGAGAAACCGTATAAATGTATGGACTGTGGAAAATGCTTCACTGAGTCAAGTTCCCTC